AACGTGGACATGGATCAATGCCTCGGTGTTATAAATGCGTTGCGTGTTTTTTTGCTTGTTTCTGTAGTTTCATCTAAGTATTGTTTTCAATGGCAGGTCAGGCTTGTTTGCAGAAGATGTAAATGAACCAAGCGATTGATCCGAGGGCGAGTGGGTGCGGATGTTGAGCCCGATGTAAATGAACCAAGCGATTGATCCGAGGGCGAGTGGGTGCGGATGTTGAGCCTGATGTAAATGAACCAAGGGATTGATCCGAGGGCGAGTGGGTGCAGATGTTCAGCCCTGCAGCGCTGGGGCAGGAGGAGGCCCTGGGCAGGCAGTGGCTGCCGCGGCCCGGCCACCAGCGCAGGCCCCAGCGCAGGCCCCAGCGCAGGCCCCAGCACCTCCCGCCAGCGAGGCAGGGAAACGGCCACCTGGTGTGGAAAACACTGGTAACTTCCGAATGACTGCTTTTCATGGCATCGTTAAGAAAAGTGAGGAGGTGAGCACCGAGGAGATACTCTTTCAAAATAAAAGAGTTGTTTAAAAATGTTTCAGGCCAGAACATGGCTATTATTTTCAAGATGACTCCCCAGGGCTTGCACAGCTTAAACCTTAAACTTTGAAAATACTTCCAGTATTTTCAGAGAACTTTATTGAATTAGAAAAACTGCTCAAGCAAGAGCTGGTTTCTTCCTTGGAGTAGCTTGTACCTGTGCTAGTCTGTACTCCGAGGAATGGAGAACTTTCACAAGCCAGTGATTCTACTTCTTTTTCTTTTTATACTATGAAATATCCCAATATTCTGTAATAGTGTCATACCTATATTTCCATACTTCAAATCCACTCTTCCGTCCCCATTACACTTTAWGCAGTTTGAAGTCAAGGGTTTTAGAGTGCATGCTCACGAGGCAGCTGTCTGCCGGTAACTTGTGAATAAAGTAGCATTCAGACATCCATTAGGAAAAAAATTATTCAAACAGTGCAAACTTTATGCTGTAAAGTATTATAATGCCCTGTGCATAATGTACATTTTCTTTACATTTTACGTTATCTGTTTCACATCATAGCACATTTATCCCTAGTTTTCTTTCCTTCTAGCTTAATGAGAATCTCAGTTCTTGAAAGTGCAGTTCTGTCCTTTGTGTCTAATCTGTGCCCTCTATTTCGCTCCCCCTCTTGGAGATAAAACTGCATTTTGCTGCTGTTGCAGTTCCAGGTGAATTTGATCAAGATAGAGGAACTGACTCATCACCTTTCCTTGAATCTTCTGGACTCTACTGGCTTGTGTGCCCTAGAGGAGTCAGGATCAGCACTGTATGGCGTCTACTTGCATTGCTAAGAGAGAATGGGCTTTTATTGTTGTTTTCAAATGCTGTGCATCAAAACTCTTTGGAGCCTGTYGCTATTCATTTTATCTTCTGTAAATGAAGAAGCAGAAAAAGCTAAGCTGATATGTCTGGGCAGTTGAGAAAGACTATTTAAGAGGGGAAGTTTCAAAAAGTGTGGTGCTTGCCCCGGTACACTGTGCAGCCATATGCCAATACGTTGCTCTTTAAAGGGAATTGTCCTGGTACTTGCATTTAATTTTCCATCCCATCTAATGCTAGATGCTTTTACATGAGTTGCCGTATGTGCCATTTTTGCTCTGACATAATAGGGCCCTTAACTCCAGCTTAATAACTTGCCTCGTAACTGAGTTTGGATAGACAATACATTTCTAAAGGGCATTCAGTCACAGTAGGACAGCATGAGTTTAAAAAGAGATATTAACCTTTAGGAAGTGATGCTTTAACAAACCCAGCCACTTATTTGAGAGGAAGAATCAAAACGCTGCGGCCATTTGCAAGGGGCAGTAGCAGAGGTCAGCATGGCTGTGGAGGACTATGAAGCTGACTTTTTGCAGCGATTGTTTCCCCGCAGGTATCATATAAGCTCCTCTGGWTGTTTGTAAACAATGCACTTTGCTTCTTATTTGCAGCATCAACTTAGTGGCTATTGTTTCCTTGGAGCCTCATCAGCACATTTTCTTGTGGTCATTAGAGAAGTTTGGAAGGGAAGAGCTTTTTACAAAGGAGCACAGAAATGTTTTGTATGCTGTTTCCATCCCTAATGACTCAGGGAGGCTAAATCTTTTCTGTGGCTTGCAGTGAGATTTCACTGCAGAGAAGAGGTGCTTTGGGTTTGTAGCATATTTAGACATCATATCTGTTTTTGCTGCAGATGAAAAGACTTCTGAATAACTTTTGCTGTGCTTTCTAGCAATGCTTTGGCCATTCATTTCTCTTCAGCACAGTATTTGTTTGTTTTGGGGATGGAGTGAGGAGGAAAAAAGAAGATATAAGAGGCTCAGGCAGGACTGGTGAGACAGTCCTCACATGTCAGTGGCACTCGCAGCCCTGCATGGGCAGCCCAGGGGCTGCACTTTAACTTTGCACTCTCTGGTGCCAGAAGGTAACTACAAAATTTTTGTATTTTGCAACTGGTTCAAGTTCTGGTCCATCTTAACTAGTGTGCTTAAATTCAAAGAGCTGGAAATCAATCTTTAGCAGGTGGTCCAGGCTTGGGGCTTTTATCTGCTCTGCAGGTGGCTGTGTGGCTCCCTGCAGTGGTCAGTGCACCTGCCCTGGCACAACAGTCAGTTCGTGTCTTTTGCTTCTTTTTCTTTAAGCCTTGTATCCTCTCTTCTGGTTTTATAAATCACTGTTTTCTATTTAAATACTGCATTTTGGCAAGGTGGGCTAGAGGAGCTGTTCTGTAATATAAATTTAAGCTGTCCTCAGACAAAAAGAGTAATCCATGAACAGACAGAAATTTTAAGTGTTTCATACACTCTAGGATTTTTAACTCTTCTGTGTTACAGTGCCATTTCTTCTAGTGAATAATTTTGAACACTTTGCATGTTTTGTTGAAATTCAACAATTCCTCCTTGTTTTCACATGGTAGATAGACGAAAATCACTTTCAACTTTTGATTTGTCCTTTCTAACTCACCAGCTTTCACATTTGAATTGTGTTCCCATTCTAATGGAAACAGTTGTAAGTTTCTTATAGCTCCATAATGGATATGTGTAAGTTCTATCTATCATAGAATGATATAAAATTCAGAAGAACATGAACTTAATGTTTACACAGAGTTAGAGCTGTAATGCATCTCAAAGTTAAAATATAATGAAAAGGGATAGGAAGAATAAGACAGAAGAGAATCAGAAGAATAGTGGGAATATAATTTTAGTTATACGATCTTATTTAAACATGCAGTAAGATTTTTGTGGAGGAATGCTGGAACAGTCAGCACTGTTCTAGCTACAGTACTAAAGGTGCTACAGAAATGCCCTTCTCCTCCCATTCTCTTTCTCTCCTTTCTGGAACATGTTCTCGATCAGCATCACAACATTTACTGGCCGCATTGAGGCAATGATTACAGGTCATACTGGGACACATTTCTTTAAACAGCTCCTGAAGTAGAAGGACAAAGTCCTTATTCTGAATAGAGCACAATCTAATTTTAATCATGATGTGATAAGATGGGAGGTGACAATCTGATTTTGAAAAAGGGGTGAGGTGAAGAAGGACAAGAGCACATCCAGAAGAGCCGTCTGGGTTCCAGGCCACAGTGTTTCCTTCCCAGTGCAGAAAACAAAGTGCTTTATGCAAGCATTCAGGAGAGCACATTTATAATTACCTTTTCCTGAATATTAGTGTTAGTGAAGCTTTGTTTACTGGTAAAAAGAAAGTGTGAACAGTATGTGTCTGAGTGTGCAATATTTAACTGGCTTGGGTACGATGAAAAACCACTGTGGGTGACTTGGCGGCTTTAAATGCCATCTATGATAGTATTGAAATTGAAATCCTTAAACACGCTTTCAATAAATCTCTGCACCAGAATAAGTATGAACTGATCCAAGGTTTCCCTATGAACTTTCAAACCATCTTTGCAAAAATAATTTATGTTTGTGCAGCTTTGAGCAAGGATTTAGTTTACAGTTGACCTTCTTTTGCATTTGCTATCAGAAATGCRTGGTGCRTACCTGGCTTCAGTGCAAAGTATTATGAAACACAATGAGTGAAGATTTAATGGGATTATATGGACTGTCTTATGTTGTCTTGTTCAAAAGATTAGAATCTGCAGCTTCTGGCAATCAAAATGCAAGGAAATGTTTGCCCAGAGCATTATTACTGAAGCCATTTCATCTTCCAGGTATTTCAATGGAGTTTATTTTGTTAAGGCAGAATTGGAAATTACAGTTTATTTTCCCTATTGTATTAAATATTTTTATAGGTATATATTTGATTCTTAGCTCAACATTTTTGGTCTCAGCTGTGCCTCCTCAGGGTTTGAAGCCTTTGATGTCTTTAGACATTATACATTTTGCAGAGACTTTCTCTTTCAGGAAAATTTCTGCTGACATATATCTATATATGTATGCTGTCAAAATATTACGTGCTATTCTCAATTATTTGGTAGCGATGGGAAAAACACCTGCTTTCTAAGAGTATTTCATCCATTCAATTATCTGCAAGAGGTCTTTTGGAGATATATTATTTAAAATTGTAATGACAACTTGACGTAAAAGCTAGGTAATTTTTGATTCCTCTTGTTCCATTCCTTGACGTTAGCAATCTTGTTCCGTATTCTATTTAATCATGTGCAAATGACTTTCACACTCTGAAGCAAATTTGTGCTGTTCTTCATCCATTATATCTGTGTACTGTTTGATATGCAAAATCTTTTTGGATTCACTGTGCAGCAAATGGTGATTTTTAATTATAAATATATTTAAAATATTCAGAAAGATAACTTGTCATGGGGAAAGAAAGAGCAGGAATGTGAAATATATGTCCAGAAATCACCGTGCTTTTATATGCTTGAYTGTTTTTTAGAAAATTTCTTGATATGATAATGTTTTGAAGGGCATTTTCAATATTTTGAAAATTGCGGGACATTGAAATTAAAACGTAAATTTGTCATGTGTCTTCCTGTCTAATTAGTTACCTAAACTCATTATTTTCCAAAATTAGTCTGCAGTATTATCAGCCACTGCATTTTGTGAAGAAGCAAGAACAACTGAATAATATAGAAGCAGGTAAAAGCAGCTCCTGCTGGCTCGCACGAATGGAGAGGCCTCTCTGACTTCTGGTGACTGTAAAATCAGGGCTACCTTAAGTGGAAATGGCAGGTGAGAATTTTCTGGAGAATACTCTTCTTTGTTAAAATATGTATATGTGTGTGTGTGTGTAAATATATATATGCACCCATATACCTATATACATGAATATTATTGATTACATGGAGCTAAAGATGATCATGTTATTCAGGGGAAAAATATATAGCAAAAAAGTCAAAAAAAAAAAAAAAAAAAAAAAAAAAGGAATCTTTGTTTAGCCTGGAAATTTAATTGAAGTTAATGTGAACTATATCATCATAAAGAATTTGGTCTCTGTTGAACAGCAGCAGAGATTATGCATCGTATTTCCTTTACAGCACTTGCTACATTCACTACAGGTTGTTCCTGTTCCACTGCCATAGTCTGAGGCTTTTAAATCAGGAAGGAATTTCACTGTAGGTGGCAGATACTGTGATGGGATGACAACAGGATTTTGTTTTATTACTGGAAGAAGGAAACATATATTTGCTATGCACAATATGATGTGCATAGTGGTACAGAGTATGGAGCAAATTACTGATTTGTCTCGTACAATTAAAAAGATAACTTAGAAAGCTTGGGCCAGAATGCCATAAATGGATCATGAGTATTGGACTTCAGTTTACTTGAACTGGSTCCATTGCCTTTCATCCTCTATAAAATACCCACAGCAAGGCTACTATCATACTCATCACAGTATTTTTTAAACAAATTATATTATTGGTTCCTGCCTGACCTAAATTAATATAAGAGCAAGAAAAGCAAAAACCAAGTTAAATTACACTTTAGCAGGAATTTCAGGCAACGGACACTTTTCCATGAATATTTCATACAAAGCTATAAATAATTCTGTTGGATTTTGAAGATCAGAAAGTGACTACTTGGATGATGTAGGGCATTTATGTAAGCTTTATTGCTTTGTGCATGCTATGATAGGCATACTCTTTCATGGAATTCAAGTCATGTATGGGTGAGAGTGACATTTTTCCTTAAATTTCCCTTAAATAGCTATTTGTTTAGATTGCTAAAGACTGAAAAAGACAAATACAGCACTGACATTCGCCTTTCTTCTTACCTAGGATCTGCTTACATTGAACTGTTTTCCAAAGCTTTTTCATTTTAAGAACGTTTTATACATTATTCTAATACTAGTGCTGAATGTTTCATGTTGATAAAATAGAGGTTTGTTAGATTACTCAAATATAAATCTCTCTTAGCCTTCATTCAAAAATATAAATTAACTCCACTGGATTGAGTTTGCCTCCTCCTGAACTCATCTGGGTTTTTCAGTAAATGGTGACTATATTTTCATGTCAACCGATGGAAAAAATGCAAACCAGATGCTTTTTCCCTTTGTTTCATAGTTTTGGTAATTTAGTTAATCTGCAAATTTTATTTTCTTTTAATAAAAAAAAGTGACGTTTCTAGGCTTCTTTATGGTAGAGAAAAACTTGGAGAGGTGCTTGTTTTTTACCATAAAATTTAAGGAAGAACTCCAATTTTTTTATTTTTATTTTTTTAAAGAAAAGAAAGAAAACCCATGATTTTAAAGGTACCACTTTTAAGCATCACTGCTAGATACACTGGTGCCAGCAYCTCCCAGGTTCCCTCCCTAACGGCAGCTCTCCACACATACGTGTTGGAATTGCCATCGCATATTTTCCCAGGCTTGGTGTCACTTGCTCTTCTGCACTATGAAGACCTAGATACTGGCAAACAAACAAAGGAAGTTATGAAAACGTTTGAAGACCACRTTGTCTAAAATCCCCAGCAAACAACTGTGAGCTGAGCAGCAAGGATGCAGAGTCAGAGCAGCAACTCGTGGAGAACGGCAGCTTTTGTACTTACAGAACATGCTAGTGCTGCAAATATTGACACTGCTGTGGCACAGCGAATGGAATAGCCTGCTGCCATGTCCCCCCATGTAAGGAAATTAGACCTCAAAGGAAATTAGACCTCAGAGCACCCTCGCTGTGGGGCTGCTGGCCCTGTCTAATTTCACCGGGTGTCTGTCCCCTGAGTCCCCTACAGAGAAGCTAGCAGGCAACCAGCTCCCAAGTGCTTAGGAACCTAGTTCTTTYGAATTGCACTTAGAATCCAGTCAAAATAAAGCCTGTGAGGTGGTTTTTAAGTYGGCAACTGGTGTCAGTCTCTAAGAGGTGTAACTGAAACTCCCACGAGCTCCCCGAAAAGGAACTGTTGAATCGTGTCCCCTGGCAAGAATTGGTCCCCGAGGTGACAGTGTCTTCCCTGCTGGGAGATGCTGTTACTGGAGCAGAGACCTCATGTAACTCACATCAGCAGAGGAGCTGAAGCTTTTAAGTTCTGCTTTTCATCTTCAGCAACCCTGTATATTAATAATGTGTATTCAAGTCACTTCACTGAAAACACTAGCAATTGAATAACTGATTGTGGTTTTGGTCTCCTTTTTCTTTGTATTGTTTGTTCAAATCGGATCCTCAAAAGAACATTCCTTATTTCACTCTATGCATCATTATTCGAAAACTGAAATGGTCATTCAATTAACTATTTTTCCCCTTCCCCTTAGCATGGTAAAACTAGGATCCGGTATAGTATTTCCGTGCTGCAATTCATTACCATTTCTCATAAGCCATATTATTTCTTTGGTACCATCAAACATGCTACCAGTGCATGATGAATTTGTACAACAGCAAAGAACTTTTCTGTTGTTCTTTTTACAGCTAATGTCCGCTATGACAGAAAATGTTGCTTGTGTACTGGCTAGCAGATAACACAGAATGAAGGCAGACAAGAATGAATAAGTAAGTCACACAAAAATACCAGGTGAGACACAGAAAGATAATTTATATGTAACAACATTCAACTAGGTGCTGAAGTACACGCTGTAGCGATAAAATCTGCCCTGCGCAGTTTGAATGAAATACTGAGTCGGGATGGCAGGAACTGTGTTAGAGTTCAGAGGGCTGACACCAGGATTATCTCAGTGCAACTAAGATTAAAATAGTATTTTTATCAGAATTTAAAGTAATTTAAAACAAAGAAAGCTGATAAGCTGTAAATATTATTTCCTTTGATTTATTTTTCTTTCATCTATTCCTGTTGCCATTCATGTCTCCTCTCCATGCTTTTTGGTATGTAATTGCAGTGCTTCTGAATTTGCCTTCATTATTGTGGGATATTCACAGTTTCTACATTACGTTTGGTTGATGTTTGAACATTGTGTAGCACTTCCTTATAAATGAAAAATTATCTTTTCAAAGATAATTTGCTTCCTCAAACAATAAGTTAACAGGCTAATGAACTACCAGTGTGTGGTACAGCTTTATTTGCTGTTTAGCAGAAATGCCAGGTTCAAGAATCTGAAAAAGACTGGCCGTCTCCTGTATCCTATTCAGGAAGCATAGAATAAGATACACGAGAGTTAAAAGAACATTCCTGAATTCATAGTACTAAAGACTGTCAATATCTTTAGTGACCTTTGCTTGGTGGTAAATTGGATTAGTAAGACTTGACTTTGCTTTCATCATGTAATGTCCCAGCTCATTATATATTAATTTAACGTAATTTTAAAGTAGGCTAGAATTAAAATGTTGCTTTGTAAATTGTCTAAGGAAAAGGTGGTTTACCTTCTTGTACRATCCTCTTTAGGCTCCTGATGGTGATGACTTTTTTGAAGTTTCTCAAAATACTACTGTGGTAACTCTCTTCTGTCTTCAGCCTATATGAATATCTGCTGTGATATCATTCTTCTAAAATCTCACATCACTTTCTCAAGGTTTCAGTACAAATATAGCGTAAAGTGATGCTAAAGGTAGATAGCTTCTCATGTCCAATTGTTTTCTTTAGACAGAATATTAGCCTTATCCATAGTTCCATAAACTCTTCCACCTCCCAGAGCCTACATCACTTTCTGAGTTTTGCAGCCTGACAGGTTTTTAATTTACCATAGTATTTCATATTCCATATTTTCTATTTTGTACCTTGACATTTAACTATTAGTGACCCCTGGCAACATAAGGCTTAGAATGGCAGGAGAAAAGTAATGAAGCACTTGACGTGTCAGTCATAAAATGCGGAAGAATGCTTGAATGCTGTTGTGCTGAATCCAGACTTATTTTCATTTATATCTGTCATAGCCAAAGGTAATATCACAATGGATTCTTTTCTTGCTTTATAAATTGAATCTCCAGTTTTATTTTAGGTTCCCTCAGGAAACTGTGAGTGAAATTGTTTTCCTGTCCTGCAAAATATTTTAAAAACTTTCCTGTCCTGAATTGAAGTAAACCTTTTTGTGTCATTCTTGTTGCTTTTCTAAAAGTAGTATGTTCTATTTTCCAGTCATTTAAAATCATTTCAATTTGTATGTTTTTTTCCCTTAGAACTTCAAATTAAAGAGCATTTTTCAAATTCATGTTTTATTAGCTCAGAAAAGTTCCAAAACTTTTTTTAGATCAGTCTTTCACAGGAACAGTTTCATTATATTGTATTTTTAAATGAAAATACTTGATGGAAATTTGCAACTGTTTTTTGTGCTTAATCTCTACCTAATACTTGAAGTATGTATGTTATTTTTCCTTTTTGTTAAAGGCTGGTGCCAAGGAAAGATGCATAAGGTCTTAATCTGCGCAACATGACTTTTTTCCTTGGACCTCAGTATTTCTAGCTAATTTTTCCATTGAAATTTACTTTCAAATTGTCTTCCTATGTTTACCTTTTGTTTTTGTCTGCTCAGAGCTTGCCTGGCACTCCAAACTACAGWCATTACTCACTTATCATCTGCTGTAGTGATTTGGCATTTGGCATTATTTGGCCCTATGTCATGTGTGAGTTTTAATTATGCTTATTTTTATGTGTATCAAAGTTAATATAACTGTCTATATTTTCCCCTAGTCATGTTAGTACTGATGCTGTTCCTCTATTTTGTGGATTCTCATCCCTGCCACAGGATGTTAGAGATCTTTTCTGATGGATCACATTTTCTCCAGGCAGAATTGTACCCTTAGGAGCTGCATGCTT